TGCAGCAGCGTGCACAGGATCTTGTCCAGGCGGGTCTGGAATATCTCCAGAGAAGGAGACTCCACAACCTCCCTGGGCAGCCTGTTCCAGGGCTCCGTCACCCTCAGAAGGAAGAAGTTCTTCCTCGGGTTCAGACGGAACTTCCTGTGCCTCAGTTTGTGCCCATTGCCCCTTGTCCTGGCTGATGGTTTGCTCTTCAACATTTTCTTATTTATGGAGCATGCCGTCTGGGCAGAACTATGTGTGGTCTGCCTAGACAGATGGTTCGGGTCTGGGACTCTGCAGATTAGGAATATGCTGCTTTAGAGCTGGTTGGACTCAAAAAGCAAGGTTCAGGTGATTTTCTTGTGGAGTGTTTTGGAACACGTCCTCATGGGCACTGCCTTGCAGCTGCGCAAGGCACCGCCAAAGCGCGAAAACACCTTTGCAGAAAGGTTTTGTTACGATTGAAGGGTTTATGACTGTGTCGCTGGCTTTATTCCTGTTCCGTGGAGTTTAGCACTGTCTGTTGACACAGGGACTCCTCCTGCTGTCAGTGCTCCTCTAATTAACTGCACGAACTGTTCTGGACAGGGTCACGGTGCCTGATTAGTTTACAGCCTGGCCAGCCTTGGGCAGTGCCGTGGAATGCAGCAGGGGCCCTGCGCTGCCCTGCTTCCTCCTTTTTGCCCAGTAACCATTCTCTACAGAACTCTCCTCCTGCTTTGAAAATCAGTTTACTCTAGGCAAGAGCACGTTGGTGGTGTTAATTCTTGTTTGTAGCCCTTCAGAGGGAGAAAGACGGTGCTTTGCAGTGCTCTGGAGTCAGCCTCATCATCAGGCTCTTGCTTTGTAAACCCGTGCCCTGGGAAGAACTCTTCTTCGCTGTGCGTCATGAGGGAGGGAAGGACAAATCTGTTGCTCTCTGGAAAAGCTTTGTACTTTACTTCCTTTTAAAAAATACAATTCTGGCACTTGCAGGTACAAAGAAAACCTTCAAAAATTGATCTTTTTGATACCTTTGAACCTACAAATGTCAACAGTGGTAGAACTTCCTTAGCTTCGGCGATCAAGCAGTAAAATAAAAACCTGCCTTCCTCCTGAGGCGTTCTGCCCAAAGGCTGTGAGTTGCAGACAGGAAAATCTACCAAAGACTGTCCAAGCATCTGTCTAGAAACTGTGCCGTGAAGAAAAGTGGAGAATGATTTAGCCGACACCTGCGTTGGGCTGGGTGTAACGGGTGACCCGTGATTGTTGTCCAAAGGACTGCAGCAGCGCAAGCGGAGGACTCGCGGGGACCGCGCGGAGGCGAAGATGGCTCGCCCAGAATCTCGCTATTCCTTTGATGTCCCAAACCCTTGCATCAACTTTGCAACTCTGAGCGATGATGATGATGCGCACAATGCAGACGCCTGGTTTGGTAAGCTGCTTCCGACTCCTGGATTTGTTTTCTCTTTGGATGAGGGCTTGGCGTGACCCCTGTTTGGGGCCTGGCTTCTGCGCCGATGGATTAGTCGTGTTGCTAACTGCGTTATTCGTCGTGCGTGGGTTTTTTGGTTTGTTTTCATATTTAAGCTTTGATTTTCATCTGTAACTTGACAGATGACTGTTAACATTATAATGATATTCTGAGATATTGTTAACAATTCCTAACGTAGTATGTGTAGTGAAAGTGTCTCTCTCCTCACAGACCTAAAAGCCAATCTGGAGAATGTCCCTCCTGCAGAAAATCTGGCAAAGGTCTCGCAGAGCAGCCCTGCTTTTTCAAAGCCTGATATTATTCTGCCTTCTGTTGCATCGCAAGGAATAACAACAAGTAAGTTGGCCATGGTATGGGTGGGGAGAGTATAAATTTTATCTGCTTTTCATCTCATATACCTTTGTCTAGCAAGGTGTCGTGTGGCTTCACTTCCTTCTGTGCGTGTGTACATGTGCGTATATATGAGCTGACATTTGTCACTGTTCTCAGGTGAAAGCCGTGGTGAAGAGGACGGTGCAGCAGAACGTGTGCAGGCCAGTGCGGTTCCTCAGAATATTGTTGGATCCCTGACGAGCTGGAGAGCTACTGCTCCTGCAGAGGCCTCTCAGAGGTGAAATACTTGTACTCGGCTTGCACTAAGATTGCTGATGGTGTAACTAAGCAGATCCTTGCTCTCAGGATCTGCAGTTCTGTTCTTGGGCCGTCCTATGGGTCTGAAGTTCTCCAGCCTAGGGGTCGTGTATTGGGACAGCTGATCTGCTTGCTAAGCTGCAGGGACAATCTCGAGGGGTGGAAACGTAATGCAGTGTCTCACATACTTGTCAAATGAGACTCAGCAGCACTAGGAGCTTCTGGAATGTGAGGATATCTGAGACTGCAGTGGCATATACAGTTTCTTTGTTTACATCTGCCCGAGGTGGGCAGAACTCGTTGCTGATATGAATGCAAGGGGCTCTGTGTGCTCATGTATACCAAAGAATATTAAGTTTATGGATTGCAAAAGTTAAACCGTTCATGCTGTGTTTGGATTGTTGTGTGAAACACAGTTTGCGTGGGGGGCACGTTGGAGCTGGGTGATGCACTTACCTAGAAAGTGTTATACAGGTCGTGTCTTCTGGGACCCATGGGAAAGCTAACATCCATTTTCTGTTCCACTGTAGAGCGGGTAGAAGACAGGCTGCAAAGCAGAGAAAAACACAGCAGCGCAAACAGCCAGCTAGGATCAAAGCGGAGAAGAATTCTGATGCCTTGGTTAATAAGGAAGAGGTTCCACCCCTGAAAAAAATGAGAATGTACGTCACCAAAGCCCTTCTGTTTGGGGCTGGGAAGGGGGGTACAACTGTGTCTTTGGAAAGGATTTCCACCTGGCTGAGAGGGTTCCTGCAGGAAGGTTAGGAGGGGGAGACTGAAACCTGGTTCCTGATACTGGTTACGTAAAGAAGAAGAAATGACTGTAAGACCTGAGGGAAGTGAGGCGTGAACGAAATAAGCTTGGGTTTCTGAAGCTTCTTATTCCATACTCGGTGTCTGTCAGCTAGCTTTAAATTTGGCTTAACTTGTCCATCAGGCAACCATAAGCTGTGAAACGGTCTCAGCTAAAATATTTCTCAAATTGGCTTAACCACTAAGACATATGGTGATAAGTTGAGGTCAGGAAATCAAAGTGCAATCTTTCGAATGCCGCTGTACTTAGGTGAACTGCGGCACACCTACCGCCTCGAGAAAAGCCCAGGTTCCAAAACCTCAGTAATTCGTCTTCCCTCCTACAGCCTTAGAGTTCCAGGGAACGCTAGACGATCTGTACCTGGGCCGGGCGCGAGGTAAGGCCGGTCTGGCATACCATCGAACTCACCAGGTGTTGGGGTGTTATGCACGGCGGTAGATCTTGTGTTTAGAGCCCAGTTAGTGGTTTGCCATAACAACTTGTCACCTTAGTTCTCGCAGAAGTGAGAAGCTGACAGAAGTATCCACGAAGGGAGAGGCCCTGCAGAATCCTGACCTCTCCCTGGGGAGAGGGAAAAGCAAGCTGAATGTGCCCACCACGCCAACAGTGTTAAAGTAAGTAGCTTTCACAGAGTGTGAGGGGTTGGCAGGGACCTCTGTGGGTCACCCAGCCCAACCCCCTGCCCAAGCAGGGTCACCCAGAGCAGGGGGCACAGCACCGCGGCCAGGCGGGGCTGGAATATCTCCAGAGAAGGAGACTCCACAGCCTCCCTGGGCAGCCTGGGCCAGGGCTCCGTCACCCTCAGAGGGAAGAAGTTCTTCCTCGGGTTCAGCTGGAGCTTCCTCTGCTTCAGTTTGTGCCCATTGCCCCTTGTCCTGTCGCTTATGACTTGTCTTTTCTAATCACAGTTGATTTAGGTGACAGCCCTGGCTAGAGTGTTTTCAACTTGGACTTAGCCTGTAATGGTATCACGTTTAGTAAACACTGGATCAAGACAACAATATTAGGATGAAATATAGTTCACCAACTGAACCTGTGCAAAGGGGAGCTTTTGCTTTTGATTTGAGGAAAGAATTGTTCTTGCTAACAGATGAAGCGTGCATACAGCAAATGTGTGGGCAGGATAGCAGTTAGCTGCAAGCTTTCTTGAGCAAGCAGAATCCAGACAGACCTTTTCTAAAGAGTATACGTCTTAAATGAGTGATGGTATTGCAATGAAGTCAGAGAGAAGCACGTTCCTTTGCACTAACGTCGTGCTAAGAACCAGTGAAGCGGGAACGCACATGTCAGCCTTTAACGTGCTTCTGCAGGAGGACCAATCCTTCTAGCAAGTTGAAGAGTACAGAGGAGCAGGAGCTGGAAAAGATGCAGCAGTTGCAGCGGGAGGTTATGGAGCTGCGGAAGAAGAACGAGGAGTCTCTGAAAGCAGCCATTGCTGGAGCAGGTGGGCTCAGGCTGAATTGCCAGTTGAAGCTGTGGTGGGCTCAGCTGGAGAGCGCTGCATAGAGCTGTTCAAGTACCTTTAAAAGCAAACATTTCAGTTTTTCTAGTAAGTATTAGGATTAGGTAGCTTTTAATGTAGATCAGCGCCTAAACTGCCTGGAAGCAGGTTTGTTTGGGCTTTGTCATGTTTTGAAAGCTTACAGACAAGTTCTCTAAAGACAGTTCAAGTTATTAGAAATTAAATTCTTCCCCACCCACCCCACAAGGCTTCCAGACCTTACATGTTCTTTTTCTTTAGGACAACCCACGAAGAGAACTGTTGCTCAAGTAACAAAGTCAGTTGACTTCCACTTCTGCACGGAAGATCGAGTTAAACAACGTGTGGAAAGCCAGCCTGGGAACGAGTACAAGGAACTGGATTTTGCAGCGGTACTGAGGAAGCATCCTCCTGCTCTGGTGAGAACCAGAACATTGCCATCAGTCAGCTGACTAATCCTTGACATTGCCCGCTTTGTGCTTTAGCAACACGTGCTGGTAACCCACAAAGAGGGTCACCATGGGAGAGGCAAGCGTTGTGCAGACGTAACTGTTAGCTCGCTGCGTATCTGCATTGCCACGAGACTCTGAGGGACCCCTTTGAACACATCATATCTTCTGGTCATTACACTTTGTGCTTTAATCTTCCACTTCATGGTGTCCCAATATGACCAGCCTGTGCATGTTCAGGTAGTGAAGACTCTTGTCTGATGTTGAGTGTTCCCTTCCCTTCAGTGAGGGGAAGGGACAGATACTGTGAGTCAGTGGGGAAAGGAGATGTCATCGAAGCGTCCTGCGTTAAATGGCCACAATGACCGTAGTTTTTTGTCTGCAGGGGCGAATGCCGAAGGGACCCACCGTTTTCAAACCTTTCAACCTGTCCCAGGGAAACAAAAGAAAACTCGAAGAAACAACATCAGAGTATATGCCCCTTGCTGAGCAGGTGGAAGCATTCCAAAAACGCACGCCCTCTCGTTACCATTTGAGGAGCAGGAAGTCTGATGAAGGTGAGCAGTCCCCTGGTTCTGTCTGGCCAGGAGGCTCTCCACAGAGATGGTGGTGGAGCCAGAACGATGCTTGGACTACCGGGCAAACAGCCTGGGTCTGCAGGCCTTGCCGTTAACTGCTGGTCTCTGACTTGAATTTACAGGCCCGGTTCCAGGAAAGCTGGTGAAGGCTCGGACTGTAAACCCTAAAACGCCAGTGCTTCTAACAAAGCACCGCTTCAGACCTGTCACCTGCAAAACTACAGCAGAGCTAGAAGCAGAGGAACTAGAGAAAATTCAACAGTAAGTAAAGGTTTACTCTAGTCCTCCAAGAGAAAATTGTACCACACTGGAAATATCTTTTAGATGCCAAACCATCACTTCTCAGGAATACCCTTTTTGAGTAAAAGGATGAATAGCACAAAAACATTGAGATTCTTTCAGCTTGTGCGTAATCCTATGGCTCTGACTGTAGGGATGTGAAAAGGCAGCCAATTCTTTCTGCAGACAGTGCTCTTATGAGTGCTGATCCTGGGTTGAGGACAGCTTGTGATTAGTAAAGCAAAGCCAGTATAGCAGAGCAGCCTGTGTACACAGCGAAACTCTCCTGTAGACAAAGTTTTAAATTTCCAAGCAAGCAACACAAAGTTTTCCTTAAATTCTTGCTGTTTCAAAAGCAAAGGAGTTGTGAACTGGAGCTGCACGCTAGAGAACATTTGTGTGTGGCACAACTGTTTCTGTACCTGACCATTGGTCTTTCATGCTGAGAGAAGCAAGCCATTTGAGAGCTGCATGCTAGAGAACATTTTTGTGTGGAACAACTGTTTCTGTACCTGACCATTGCTCTTTCATGCTGAGAGAAGCAAGCCATTTGCTGGAGGCTGCATCTTGCCATGTACAATATGTCGGTGACGAGCTCCACCTTTCCTGTGTAGGCACAAATTCAAAGCACGAGAACTCGATCACAAAATCTTTGAGGGTGGACCACTCCTGCACAAGAAACCCCCTGTGAAGGAACCCACGCAGCCCATTGGCTTTGAGTTGGAAACGGAAAAAAGAATTCAGGAGCGTGAGAGTAAGAAGCAGCAGGAGGAAGAGCGCTTTGAATTCCATTCCAGGCCGTGTCCCACAAAAATCCTGGAGGATGTTGTGGTAAGAAGTTCAGCAATAGCCAAGTGCTATTGGGATTAGGACTGAGATGGCAATTAGCTTCAAAATGTCTGTAGCTGTGTTGCGTTATGCATTTTAATAACCTTCAGTAAGCACAGTCTGTCATTAGTTAGGGACTGCAGTGAGTACGTACAGTGCTATGTCGGGTCGTCTCTCTGTAGTGCGTTTTCGTGGTGCTTTGGCTTGTGTCACTCACTGGCCCTTCTGAACAGGGTGTTCCAGAGAAGAAGGTGCTTCCTGTTACAGTCCCCAAGTCTCCAGTCTTCACCTTGAAAACCAGAACCCGAACGTCTGCCAGAGATGAAGAGAAGGTAACTGTTGTGACTGGGCTGTAGCCAAGCCTTCTGGTCCCACCAGGGTGGCTCGTGGGCCAGCCTGCCGCGCCTCGGCCAGCTGGGGGCGGTGGGCCGGGTTGGCTGCCTCCTGTTAGACAGTCCCTCAGGGGTTGTCTGCCTCTGTGCCGTGCCCTTCTAATGATCTAGTTGCTGCTATTTATTTCACAGAAGCTGAATTCTCATACGAAATGAAATAATTTAAACAGGAAGGCCCTGACTAGGGTTTCTGGGGTATTGCTGCTGTGAATAAGGAATGTAAACTGCTTAGACTTCTGAAGGACACTGCACTTCCCTCTTCTGTTGTTGGGAAGGGCAGATATCGCACGCGACGGTTCTTCTCCCTGCAGTCGCTCTAGATCCTTTGAGGTGGGGAGCAGGATTCGGAAGGCATCGTGTCCTTCTTCCTTTCCCTCTCGTGAAGAGGACGTTAAAGAATTACAGTCTAATTTGGATGAGTACTAGAACTGATAGTGGTTTGCAAAGGGGAGGAACTTGCAGTGGTTCAGCATGCCTGTAAACTGGTACTTTTTGTATAGAGTGCTTGCTTGATGCTGTTGTGACCCTTGTTTAAGAAACTCTAGTACTCCTGGCTCTGCTTGGCCGGAGTTGTAGTGTTTCTACAAAAATGAAGAATCTGGTACTCTGTCAGCTCCTAACACTAATATTCCTTTAGGAAAAAGAGGTGGTCCCTGTGATCAGAGCTAACCCTATGCCGCATTACGGAGTGCCCTTCAAGCCTAAAATGCCAGAGGAGAGGCATGTGGAAGTTTGCCCCTTCTCTTTTGATGCTCGTGACAGAGAGCGGCAGATACAAAAAGAGAAAAAAATAGAAGAATTGCAGAAGGAAGAGGTAAGAACTAAAAGCTGCCTTGGATTCCACTCCTTGAGTAAAAAGGATGTGGCAGGACTTGCCTCTTGCTGTTGGCTGATACATTTCCGAAGTTTCATGCCTGTGAGGAAAGGGCAAGAAATATTTAATGCTGTTTCTTTCAGGTGCCAAAGTTCAAAGCGATGCCGCTGCCGTACTTTGACCACGTTAAGCTGCCGGAAAAGAAGGTCAAAAGCCCAACTCGGCCTGAGCCGTTCCATCTGCAGGTTGATGAGCGCGGAGCTGCCAAGCTGCAGAACTGGAAACAGCAGGTAGGGTGGAAAGGGTGACGGGTCCAGCCAGACTGGAAGCAGCTACTGGACTAGTGAGTGACTTCAGAAAGTGTCCTGCGTGAGTTTAATCAGGGTCTGAGTCTGAGCAGTGAATTTCCCTGCCCTTGGCATGAGATTTGTACTATGGGTTGTGGATTGGGACTTTTTTCTCCCTTTATGGTAAGTGAAGGGATTTACCACAACTGCCTGCACAGCTGTGTGGCACTTTCTAGGCAGCAGCTACGTGCAGTGAGCATCTCTGCGCTTGGGGACTTACTGATGCGTAAATAACGTGCTGCTTTTCCCATGTGAAGTCTGCAGCGGACACCTGGAGTGTTCTTCAGGCTGTTTTTGGCCAAAGTAACTGGCAGGCAACAAGTGACACACCTTTTTGGCTGTGATAGAATTTTCGATGCAGATGTGGGTTTCACTTGCACCAAGTCTCTTCCAGTGTTGGGAATGCCGGAGTCTGGGGGGGAGATGGTCTTTCTGTCGTGCCTGGCGCTTGATGGGCTCTCTTCTCTTGCAGCTCAAAGAAGACCTGAAAAAGCAGAAGGAGGCAGCGTGTTTCAAAGCTCGTCCCAACACAGTGGTGTACCAGGAGCCTTTTGTGCCCAAAAAGGAGAATAAGCTGCTATCAGGTGGAGTTACAAGTACTTGCTAGGCAGGCTTGGCTGATAACTCAGAACTGATGCAATTAAGTGATGTTTAGGCTGGCTGTTGCTGCTTCTTTATCAGCACGGCCAATAGTGCCCTGTGCTTAATCAACTAATTCGCTAACAGCTCGTGTCCCCGGGGAGCGGGGGAGTTTCCTCTCCGTTGCCCCCCTGTCCCGCACTACCCGGCAGCTGTGTTTAACAGCTATGCCGCAATTGGCGGGTGATTGATGTGTGCTAGCTCGGAGCAGGGCAAGCGGTGTGCGTGGGGCTCCCCGCAGAGACAGCTGGTGCTGCTGCCGTGGCTGTCAGTCTCTGCCTCCCGTTCCTAACGAGACGGAGGCAGCCACGGCGCAGGGTAGGCTGGACTCTGCAGGGTGGTGAACCAGCCCAAGGCTTGTTTTGTACTAACACTTGTGTGCTTGCTCCCTCCTATGTGAACACCCGCGACGGGGCAACGTCTGCATTAACACTGCTCACGTTTGGGCATAAGCTTTGCTCTTTTCGTGAAGCCTGGAGGTATCTGCTAACCACCCTTGCAAGGGGAAGTGCTCCGGAGGGAGGCTTCTGTTTGATGCTAGCACTGCTCTGCTGTACCTGACTGCCTTTCCACCAATGTTGTCTCCTCTATTTCTAAACTTAGAGAGCCTTTCTGGTTCTGTAGTTCCTGAAAGCTTTGAGCTGGCGACGGAAAAAAGAGCTAAAGAGCGTCAAGAATTTGAAAAGCAATTGGCACATATAGAAACCATGAAGGAGAGGCATCAAGAGCAGATCAGACAGCAACAAGAGGAGCAGGAAAAGGAAGAAGTTGCTAAGCTAAGGCAAGAAATGGTAAGTGAGCTATTTCTGAAGAGGAGCTGTAAAGTCACCCAGAAGGGTGTGTGAATGCGCTAAATGAACTAGTGTCAGCGCTGAGCTGCGTTAAGGCTGTGTTTCCAAGTTTCCCTGTTGCAAACTGGCTCCTCATTAACTTTACAACTGGTCTTAAAAATGAAAAAAAGAAAGGCAGCTCTGCTGAGGTGACGGATTTTCGGAGCTGTACGCGTGCTGTCGTTGGAGCAGAGTGATCTTTGTAAAATCCGCAGCCCCGACGTGTGCCTTGCCTGTTCCTGGTGGCTTGCTCCAGCGCCCCGGGCAGCGGGGTGGTCTCGGAGACAGAGACGTGCCCTCATCCCGCCGAAGGCTCACCTGCAGGTCTCAGCTTCATCACAACTGCAACCATTTGCTTCATTTTGTCCTTGATAATATTTTTTCCTGCAGGTTCACAAGGCAAACCCGATACGCAAATACCGCAGCGTAGAAGTGAAGCACAGTGATCAGCCCCTGACTGTGCCCAAGTCTCCCAACTTCTCCGATAGATTCCAGTGCTGATGCGCGTCCGTGTGACAGCAGGAGGGAGAGCCCGTCCCGCTCTGGAGAGGGGACAGCTGTTTTTACGTGACTGCTCAGTCTCTGCTCCTGCACTTGGTTCCATTATTGTTGTATTGAGTAGTTGAACTCCACCGGACGCGGGTGGCTGAGGCCCGGCGTACAGGCACTGCCCTTCGCTCCCCATGGCCTCACTTCACATCTAGACATCTTGTTCTCTAAAGACTAAACCAGCTTTTCATATTGTCTAGAAATATTGTGTTCCTAAACCAAATAAAAATTCCTAATCCGATTGCTGTCGCTTGCCACGGGCTGAGTCCCTTTGCTGCAGGGGAGTTTTCGGTGAAGGGCGCTCGGTGAACACACGGGATGGGCGCGTCCCGAGGAGCTGGCCTGGCTTTGCCCGTCGAGGCTTTGGTTCCAAGCCTCTGTTTCTTAGGCTTTTAGTCTGTGTGAAGCCCGGGTTGTGTTCAGCAGTGTGAGGCTGCTGCAAGGCAGCATCTTGCAGGCCTGGCGTTTCTTGTTGATGTGTAGAGGAGTGCCGATATGAATCTTGCCCCCACTGTAAAGTAGTTCCCTGTGTGTGTTCGAGCATGAAACCTTCTGGGTTGTAGCTGAAGTCGTGCTATTTGGGGAACGGTGTAACTGGCAAATGACTTGCTGCAAGCTGCCTCTCTGGCTCCTGCCAGCCCACTCTCTTGGCTAGAGGTGTCCTCTCCCAGCAGGTCGAGCGTGGCCATCAGAGCTGTGTAGAGACTGCGTGCTCCGAGGTGCTGGAGGACAAAACTTCCAGCGTTGTGAAGGGGTGATCAAGCTCAGATGAGATTGAAGTTTACAAATAAACTCTATTTTACCTTAGCGTTGTGGTGGGATTTCTTACCTTGTAAGACTCTGTTTGGGCTTCTTGGTGGTCTTCGCAAGAAAGCGAACTCCAAAGGGCTGCGTGAGGGGGGGAAGGGGTTGGGGTACACCTGGTGCTGGTGGCTGCCCCTGCTGCCTGCTGTGCCGCTCTGGTGTGGCTTCCAACGGGGGGAAGCTTGGAACTCACGCATCCAGGTAGGACAAACTGGTTCTGGTTTGGGGGTTATGGCAAACATTTCCCTCCGTTTCCTCTGAATTCGGGTACTGTTGGAGAAGCGTTCCTAGAGTGTGTGGCCTTCTGCTCAGATTTTCTTTTGGGTGGAGAAGAGAGGGAGTTCAGACTCTGGTGTCAGTCTCCAGCCAAGGGCTGTGGTGAGAGGTACTGTTGTTGTCCTTGACAAAGTGCATCAAGCAATTATCGTTAGTGTTTAACTCCCAGTGTGAGAGACACAAGAGGCAGGAATTCCCCAGAGCGCTGAATTCGAAGATGAACTTTTCTTGTACCTGAGGGTGAGGTTTCTGTAGGAATTCCCCTAAAAAGCGCAATGCTCATGGGCGGTTGTTGCAGCGCAGGAGCTGCAGGCAGCGAGTGTTTCACAGGGGTGTGACTGAACTTCAGCGCCTCAAAGAGCACCGGCCTCAAACTTGGGTTAAAAGAGAGGAAAAGTCAGCCCCACTGAAACTACACTGGAGGACTCTTAAAAAAAATAAAAATTAATGTAAAGGTGTTGGTAGCTGAGGAGCTGGAGAACAAGGGGGTTTGAGGAAGCGCGTTGGTGCTACTGGAGGAGTGACCCTGTGGCGGTGTGGACTTTACAACATGGCCAGCTAAGAGCCAAGGCTCTTTTTTGCTGAAGTTTCACTTTTCCTTCCTCTCTCTCTGGAGGATCTTTCTGTGGCTGTGGCAGATCCAGGCCTGAAAGGTTGACCCGGCGGTACGGGATGGCTTCAGCTGCATTTCTCTGCCGACGGCCCCACGTCGCTGAGCTGGGGGTG